CTCGACGCAGCGTCTCATTCCCTCGGGGAACCATGGTTACATACGTAACCTAGAGACGTTATCCTTCAAAAATTGTTCCTATATGCTGATTGGGTGCTCAAGAAATATTTCTTATTGCTCAATATTTTAGTTGAAGCTGTAATACATTTTTTTCAGGATTTTTAAATGAATAGCCAGTTCAAAAGAGTTCAACAGCAATTTGTTTAAAATAGAAATTTTTGTAACAATATAAAAGCTATAATACAAAATATTAATATACTATAATATTATATAAGTAACACTACAAGGACCTGGTGAAACAGTATTACGCCATCTAAATCTTGATATGATGATGCTGTGATTCCTTTTTTGGACTAACTAAAAATGTTTAATTTTGGTGTGAGATATAAATATAGGTTTGTGAGGTAAAATATTTTAAATTGTTGTCCCCCCCCTCCTTATCTATAATTTAAATTCTCAAAACAGTATCGGCCAGTCTGGACCACACTGACAAACAATAGAAATTTTTTGTAAAAGTGTTTACTGTCACTTGTAATTATTTATTGTATCCTTGCTGAATACAAGTATGAATTTCTTTCAATAATAATTACTGACCTCAAATGTTTAAACGGTAGTGTATATATATACATCAACTGCAGCAAATAACATTTTCTTTGATGAAAACTTTGTGCATGTCTCCGCTTCAGGTTTTACTGTGGGAAGTGTCCTCAGGAACCAGTCGATTTTCCAGCAGTTCCTGATCAGAAACCTTTCCCTGCCAAACGACACCGCCAGCCTGCTGCTCTCCTCCCCCATCAACCTGAAAGAGGTCTGTCTTCTCTCCTCAACTTCCTTTTTCCTCCAACCCAGGTCAGACAGCAGTGCTTTTGAAGTCCAAATCATGACTCAGCGTCATGCTCCTCTGAGCCTTCTTCCTCTTTCATCCTCTTTGGAGTCTCAGCTCGGGTTTGCAGCACCATTAACGATTCTGCTCCATGACAATGGAGAGAGAGGACGTGTGATAGAATCTAATGCTTTAGGGCAGAGGAGCTCCAGCGTAACGCGCTTTAATGTGTCGGTTTAACGTGTTGTAGTCGATGTAAAAGTGTTGAGATATGCTCTTGTGAGCTTCCGAATGAAATCTTCATTTTCCTTAGGGAGTTTCAGTTCTTCTCTACTCTGGCTATTTAAAGTATGTGTGAGATAGGAGTTTCTAAATCTGTGCTTGTGTGTGTGTGTGTGTGTGTGTGTGCGGGCGCGTGTGCGTGTGCGTGTGCATGTGTGTGTGTGTGTGTGTGTGCGTGTGTGTGTGTGTGTGTGTACTCTGTTCAGGTGTATAATCTCATCTTTGGGACGTATCCTAAAGTGGGATCAAAGGTAGGAGAAAAAGATGAAGGCCAGCATGAACTCCACAGTCCTGGAGAGAAGCTTGTACAGCTTGAGGTACAGAATGACGGAAACACACACATTTCCATCTGTATGTGTACACTGCTGTTCACAAGTTTAGGGTCGGTAATTTTTTTCTTTAAAAGAAATAAATACTTTTATTTAGAAATTATGAATTAGATCAACATTGAAACTTTTACATTGTTGCAAAACAATCCACTTCAAATAAATGATTTTCTTTCTGTTCATCAAAGAGTAGTGAAAATAGAAAACAACTGTTTTTCAACATTGATAATAATCAAATATATTTTTCTTGAGCAGCAAATCAGCGTATTAGAATGATTTCTGAAGGATCATGTGACACTGAAGACTGGAGTAATGATGCTGAAAATTCAGCTTTAGCATCACTGGAATAATTTACATTAAATATGTTGACATAGAAAATATATTAAAACTACTTCTATATGACCGACCCCAAACTTTTGAATTGTAGTATATGTAATTATTAGATTTTGCAGTTTTTGTGTGGTTGACACTCATAGCGGATTGCATATTCTAAATAAAACACATTGTATAAAGGTGCATTTATGGAGCAATGCATTTTTCTTCCACACTTTTTTATCTTTGCAAAAATACAATTCTCTATTTTATTTTTATTATATGTCTCAAAGCATTTTTGTATAACAGCAACTTCTAACTGAATAAATATAAAAATACATTTGGTTTAAAAATAACATATTGACTATATTTCTTAGACTCCATTAAAATGCACAAGAAGTGCAAACACTAAACTTACAGTAATGCAAGTCTGCAATAATTAAATAATATAATAATTGTCCTACACTTTACAGACTTAATGCAGTGCCAATGCTGCTGCAGTGCATTTCTCATTCATATTTCAGACTTGTTGAGCTGCTGTAAGCAACTTTTTTTGAATACTACACACATAATGTACCTACTACTTGACAGATATCACAGAGTCCTGAGAAATCACCTGTCTGTGGCCCAGCCCTAGAGAGTGTAAACGGCAAGAAAGAGTCAGGGAAGCAGGCAGCACTTTTTTTTCTTCAACATTTGCTGTGTTTGCTGATTTGTTGGCATGTCTTTGGGTTAGGACTTTTGGAGAGAGGTTGTGAGGTTAAGATATCAGACTGAAATGATATCAGATTGTTAGGATGCTTAATAGATGGAACATTTTAAATATGGTAATATGCATTATACTATATTCATTTTGACAGCCACAAAAAATAGTTTTGAAACTGATACTGTCATACTTTGATTTGGATTCAGTAGACCGTTAGGTGTGATCTCACTATGCATCAGCGCCATGAAGCAGACTACTGAAATGAGGCAAAGTCCCTTCCCTACAAAGGGTTTTTCTTTTTTTTTTTTTCTTTTTTTTTTGGTGGGGGTGCGTTCATATTTTGATAAATTCTTAAGTTCCGGTTACATTTCATGCTGCTGGGCCAATTGAAATGATGTTTGCACATTAATGTCACTCTAGTCTCATCAAGTTGAAGCATTTTAAATAAAAAAAAAGGTACATTTAGACTGTTGTTGATCATTTTCTAGTGCCAAATTGTTTTGCATAGATATTGCCTACTCAAAACAGGGACAAAACGCCCCTGCTATATTTATAGGTAGTAGTAGTTAGTCATTTGCTGTGAAGGGCTTTCCAATTAGGGCATGCAATTGCTTATAACCTTGCAATTAAACAACAGTCTCTCTCCTCATTCATGCTCAGAAGCAGTTACTTGGAGGCTGGCGTAGTTTGGAGGGGGGTCTGATTCAGAAGGCATTGAGACACCCAACCAAAGCTGCTCACCGTCAAGCTCTGCTCGAAGTCCTGTCCCAGGCACTCGGGATTGCTGGAGGTGGAGGAGGCCAAAAATTTGATCCTCAAGCATTGCGTGAGATGGAGGTTGGTCTGCAACTCCACTTTTTAAGTGGTTTAAATGTTTTGTAATTTTGTTCTTCAGAAATCGTACTCTTCAGTTTAATAACAACACCTCACAAAACTTCTTACACTTTTTCCTGTTTTTTAGGGGATTCTGTTGACTGGTGCAGTGCTGGAAACCCTCACTTGTGGGGAAGGAGGGAACAGTGAGATAAGCAAAATCCTATTGGTCCCTGAGAAACAACAGGCAGTTTTACAGGCCTATCAAATGACTGTTTGTGGTGGAAAGGCAGAACAGAGGGCGAAGCTGTTCGGGGAGTTGAGTGAAGAATTGAGAGATCAGATTGACACACAGAGAGTGTTTGATCAGGTACATGCAAGAACAGCACATCTTCTTAGACACAATTTGGTATTTAAACTTAATGTCCCAGGGGTTCATTTTTATTAAAAATAACCTATATACATGAATAAATTAACCATATTAATACATTTGTGTGAAAATTATTTATCAGTTTTCCAAAAATTACAACAGTCCCCGTTGTAATGTACCACATCAAACAATTTAGCCATTTATTTGTTTATTTATTTTCTGCTTTAAGGATATATAAATGCTAACTGTGAAACTAGTTTTAAAAAGACACAGGAATCTGTCATTTTATTCCATTCATTATTGCTAAAAATGTCATTTCCATCACCGTAATTGACTAAAAAGGGCAGAGAGTGCTATTAAACACAATATAGAATTTAAGATGTGCTGTAAATTACACTGTGGTAGGACTTTTCATTGCTTTCAGAGAAAAAAGACTTGTCCCATATAGTTGGACATTATTAGTGGACAAATTAAACTATTGAGAGTATGAAAAGAGTGTTTAAGAAAGTGTACAAGTCAAAAAAGTGGCCATTAGTTGAAGAAACACTGATACTGTACGTATTATTTAGGATTAAGCATTACTCCTCTTTCCTTTCTCCGTATGTCACTTGCTCCTGTCCTCTTTCCCCAGTTGCGTCTGGAGCAGTCCAACATATCCGGTCTTTTGGATCAATCCCATCTCGGCGCTCTGCTGAAGAACCTGGCGGATGTAGAACGGCTCTTGAGGGATGTGGATTTGCTGTCAGGTCTGGCCAGACTGCTCCCTAAAGGGGCCTGTGCAGGCCACCAGCCTCCTCCTATAGCCAACACCACCTCCTGGAGCTCCAACACAACAACATGGGGTCCCAACACAACAGACAGCCCTGTGGAGGAAGGAGAGGGAGCCGCAGGAAATGAGGCAGAAACTGAAAACCCTAGATCACAGTTTTCTGCCTTTGTTCAGCTGTGGGCAGGTCTTCAGCCCATTCTGTGTGGAAATAACAGGTGTGTATATGAGTGTCACGGTGTGTTACCTTTGAAATGACTTTTTTTCAATAATCTTTGTTGTTTTATCAGGATTATTGAGCCAGAAGCTCTGAAGCAGGGCAATATGAGTTCCCTGGGCTTTACCAGCAAAGAACAAAGAAACTTGGGATTACTTGTCCATCTCATGACTACAAATCCCAAAATCCTTTACTCTCCCATTGGCTCAGAGGTGGACAAGGTCATACAAAAGGCAAGTCCAGACTCCTGAGGTGTTTCAAGGCTGAAAAAGAGCATTTATAATGTAGAAATTGGGTTTGCAGTAAAAAAAATAAAATAAAAAGCAAATTAATTACTACTGAATCCAAATGCCTTTAAAAAAAAAAAAAACTTCCTGCTGGTAATTCTTTCATTTAATTTCGGTTGTACCCAATTAATAGAGAATCATTTGAATAGCTGGAAAATTTTGATCAGATTGTTTTTTTTCCCTCTCTCTTTAGGCCAATGAGACATTTGCTTTTGTGGGGAACGTGACTCATTATGCCCGAGTGTGGCTCAACATCTCAGCTGAATTAAGGGCCTTCCTAGAGGAGGGTAAATTGCACAATCACCTGATGTGGCTCCAGCAGGTAACATTCTGTGTTTCAGTTGCTAATTTAAGAATTTTTGGTTTGAATACCACTTTGTGTTGTGCATGTGCTTGATGTCTTTTGTTGTCTGTATGTCGTAGTTCATTGCAGACCTGAAGAAGCACCATGACCTGTTGAACGTCTCAGACAGTGAGCTGATGAACAGTCTGCTGGAGGAGAACTTCACCCTGCCAAACACAACCACTCTACTGGAGCAGCTGCACACCATTGATAATGCTGCCTGTGGTTGGACAAACTTCATGTCAAAGGTCTGGAGAAGAATTTGATTTAACTTGTCCGATCTTATATATCTATTGCAAAAAAACCTTGTGTTGTCTGTTTTGAGGTTGAATTATAATTAACATGAATACAACTATTTCCTTTTTTATTTAATTGCATTGTTCGTTTTGCTATAAAAAACTTTTTTTCTAAAAACTAAATCTGTTCTGAATGTCTCAGGTCAGTGTGGATATCTTCAGAGGCTTCCCTGATGAAGAGAGCATTGTCAATTACACACTGAACCAGGCCTACCAGGACAATGTCTCAGTCTTTGCAAGTGAGTGATCATTGGATCTCATAAAAGTTTTCACTCCCAAATCAAAAAGAAATAAGAAATTATATTTGCTTATAAAAACCTATTTTTACAACCATTATGATTTTTTGCAGTGTGAAATCATTTTCAAGACAATTAAGTTGTTTTTCTCTAAATTCTCACAGATAATGCAAAAAAGTTCTCATATTCTAATTATCATGTGAAAAAGAAAAATTATTTATGTTGTGGTAATATTTGTGATACTGTATTTCAAAATGACACACAAAAAGTATAAAAATTACAGTCTAAAAACAACAGTCCCAGGCACACTTCAAAACATTAATGAAAAGCTATTATTCAACTAACTATTTCATGATGTTAAACATTTAAAAAGAACGAGTACCAATAAGGGGCTGCAAACACACTGGTTTCAGCCATAAACGGCTTCCTCAGGGTTCACTATTTGTACTCTTTTTAAAGGTTTCCTATCATGAAGTAGCCAGTTGAATTAATTTTATTGAAGTTTGCATTGGTTCATTGTTTTTTTGTATTGTAATTTTTCCTTACCAAAAAGCACCTTCAAACATATCTTACAGAAGTTCTTTGCTTTTTTAATAACTTTAAAATGTAGTATTATGCATTATGATAATGAGAATCATCTTTTAAAAAAATATTTGTGCATTTATTGTGATGAGAATTTGGGGAGATAAAATTGTCCTGAAGATAATATCACAGTGCAATGTAGGCTTTTTTTTAATGTAAATTACAGTTTTTCATATGATTTTGTAGTGTAATATGACTCAGCTATTTCTTAACAAGGTTTGAGACACTGACCTATCCATTCCCCATTAAATCTACATTTTCATGATTCATTTAGCCCTTAGTCATTGTTAAATGTAGCCAGTAGCCATATGTTTAATCTGTGCATCCTCTCTAGGTGTGATTTTCCAGACCAATAAAGATGGATCTCTGCCACCCCATGTTATGTATAAGATTCGACAGAACTCCAGCTTCACAGAGAAAACAAATGAAATCCGTCGAGCTTATTGGCGCCCTGGGCCGAACACAGGCGGCAAATTTTACTTCCTTTATGGCTTTGTGTGGATCCAAGGTATGATAAGAAGACTTAGCAAGACTTTGTCCTTTCACCTAGAATAAAATTTTGGATAGGATATCCAAAAGCAGATATTGTTTTGCATTTACTGTAAATTACTTTAGCTTGAGCACTTTAAAGTTTTGATCTTGTTGGCAGTGAAAGATCTATCTTTCATCTAGAGAGTGGTAATCTAAATTTATGAGCGTTAGTTCTGCCATTTGTGCAAAATTCTTTACAAAACTGTTGACAAAGCAATAAATCGCTTGCTCTGAAACAACATCCACAGAGTACTGAATTTTTATTCAGAATGAAAGTTCTTCTGGTAAAATGTGTACCTGGTTATGTAAAGCTTGGCGCACCAGTCAGTAAAGTGCTGCTTTGGCATTTCTGGAAGCACTTATTTAAGAGCTCAGAAAAGCCAAGAGGATCAAAGCTTTCCCACAGCGTAAAGCTGCAGTGTATAACTTCAGCTTCAGCATGTCTACTTGATGCTGTGTTGACATTTTCCATGTTTCTTCCTCTTAGATATGATTGAGCGGGCAATCATCAACACGTTTGTGGGCCATGATGTTGTTGAGCCTGGAAACTACGTGCAGATGTTTCCCTATCCATGCTACACTAGAGACGAGTGAGCTTGGTCTTTACTTTTGTTGTATATTTTGTATATACATAGTCTAAAATGCTGTGTTTAAGACATGGTGAATCGCAGATGTTCAGTTGCATTGCGTTAATGTGCGTTATACACATTATAGAGTTGGGATCTGAATGATCTCGGAGCCAGAAAGAACACGGATGCTAATATTAAGAAGAAGAAAAAAACATCCCTCACTCCAGGCAAAATCACGCAAGCTCCCCGCTCCGCTTCCACTCAGCATTAAATTTGCAGATGACACAGCATTAGTCAGTCTCCTTCAGGGGAAAGAGGACAATCAGAGACTCATCTTAGGGCAGTTTACTTTGTGCTGTGATGTTTCTGATCTACTTAAAACTTTAAGACCAAACAGATGTGGGTATATTTTTGGGAAAACAAACTTAATGTGTGTTACTACTGTTAAAGGAGAGCCAATTTGGAAAGTCATAAAGTGTAAACATCTAGGGTGTTATGACCTTTTGTATCATATGCACATTTGGAGACAATACTGTGGAGAAAAAAAGCAGTTGAAGGGAATCCTAACCACTGCAAGCAAACTTTTAGGTATCCTCAAAAATGGTATTGCAGGTATCTCGGTAAGAAATTTCTCCTAGATCAGAAGCACCCACTTTACCAAGAATTGGATGCTGCCTCCAGGTTGTAGGTTTAGGTTGCCATTATTTATTAAAAACAATACTTTTTACTTAAACTGGGTTTTTGTAATGTTTTTGAAAAGTCTTTTATGCTCACCAAAGCTGCAATAATCTGATAAACATTACAGTAATATTATGAAATGTTATTACAATTTGAAATGAAATGGCTATTTTGATATAATTTTAAAAGTAACTTATTCTTGTGGTGCCAAAGCTAAATTTTCAGCAGCACTCTAGTCTTCAATGTCACTATCATTTAGAAATTATTCTAACATTCTGATTTGATGCGAAAGAACCATTTTTTGAACACAGTTGTTCTGCTTAATATTTTTGTGGAAACTGTGATTCATTTATTTTACCACAATTTCTCTGAAAAATATAAAGTTAACGAGAGCAGCATTTATTTGAAGTAAATAGGCTTCGTAATAGTGCTGGGCGATATTCCGGTTAAAATGGTAAACCGGTTTTATTTACACAAATGGTATGAATTTTAAGAAATAACAGTGCCTAAAGACGATAGCTACATAGTGTTGTTAATTTAGAGGAGATCCCTGTTAACTGCATACACTTCTGACTAATGGTTGAAAAACTTTTAGAACTATTAATAACACACAACTAATTCTTAAACTGGGCAAATAAGCCTAAATTTAAGTGACCATTAACAGAAGCCAGAGACGCTGACAAACGCAAAGAAGAAAAAAATACTGTAGCAGGCTGCTCAGGCTCACTGTTCATGATGTGCAAAATATAGGAAGAAAATTCTAAATACTGAACTGGGGGTGAGGGGTTTCTATGACTGTATCTCTGAGGGGAACTGAGTGTCTTCAGAAAAGTTTAGATGGATTTTCTTTTCATCTTACCTCCATACAATGCATATTAATGTAGTATTTAAAAGCACAGCTACAGCGGTAACCAAGGAAACACTGTGTCGCTGCTGTTCCATAAGTGCCACCTGCTGTCAGTGAGTGAATTTGCGTTCTCATTCAGCTCGTCTGCTGTTTTTGTTTCGTTCAGATGCGTTTTATATAGCAAAATATCACAACGGTAGGGTCAGACCATTCTGTTTTTGCTATAAATGTTGAAATTATGCAATCCAATTTATGTAAAAAACTGCTTATGCTATATGCATGATGTTTGTTTGGAACGTGAAAATGCAGTGGTTCTGCAAGTGTTTCATGCATTCTGATTAATATAAAGACACAGTCAGGGAAAAAACGTGATCCGTGACCGTCAAACCGCTAGAATCCAAAAAAAAAAAAAAAACTGCCCAGCACTGTTTTGTAACATTATAAATGTCTTTACTGTTACATATGATCAATATAATACATCCATGATGAATAAAATGTCATTTCATTTTCTACGTTAATAATAGCGATGTACTGGTGGAGTACTGTACAAGTGCTTGCATTTTAGGGGTCAATACTAGTAATGTATCAGCTTGTGGAGGTGAGAAGTTGTAACAGGTTTTTCCATTTGCAGTTTTCTGTTTGTTATCGAGCACATGATGCCTCTGTGTATGGTCATATCCTGGGTCTACTCTGTGGCCATGATGATCCAGCACATCGTAGCAGAGAAGGAGCAAAGACTGAAAGAGGTGAGAGAATAGACTGAACTTTCTTTTAAAACAACTTGGTGTCACTAACAAACTTCTGTGTGAGTTCAAGAGTGGTGCCATGGTTGACGCAAGTCGTTTTTCCACAGGTGATGAAGATGATGGGCTTGAATAATGCAGTGCACTGGGTGGCCTGGTTCATCACAGGCTTCGTGCAGCTTTCGATCTCAGTGACGGCCCTCACTGCCATACTGAAATACGGCAAAGTCCTCCTCCACAGCGATCCCTTTATCATCTGGCTCTTCCTCACAGTCTACGCTGTCGCCACCATCATGTTCTGGTACTGGATCCATATTCTAATGTTTACTTGCTGTTTCGTTCTATTTACATTGCAGAACAGTAGTCAAAAGTTGTTAATGTTATGTAAAAGTTCTCTCCATTTCCTTTTCGGCAAGTTTCCTTGTGTCGGTGTTGTACTCCAAAGCCAAACTGGCTTCAGCATGTGGAGGAATCATCTACTTTCTGAGTTATGTGCCGTACATGTATGTGGCCATAAGAGAAGAGGTGGCTCATGACAAAATCACTGCCTTTGAGAAGTGCATAGCGGTATGAAGGCTTCCCATGAATCCCTTTCATGTTCCGTTTTGATAGTCTATTGATCTTCAGTAAACAAGTGATTCTCTCTCTACAGTCTTTAATGTCTACCACAGCATTCGGTCTGGGATCTAAATACTTTGCCCTGTATGAAGTTGCTGGGGTTGGAATCCAGTGGCGTACTATCAACCAGTCACCTGTAGAGGGCGATGACTTTAACCTTCTGCTGTCTATGGTTATGCTCACCATTGATGCCATTGTATATGGTGTGTTGACCTGGTATATAGAAGCTGTGCATCCAGGTAAGCTGCAGTGATGTCATTATTGTGCAGTGCAAACACTGCCCACGGTGTTGTTATTCAGTAGCAAATTTAAAGTATTTGTTTTGGTTTCTGTAATGTTTTCTTTTCTCTTCCAGGGATGTACGGACTGCCCCGGCCATGGTATTTTCCCCTGCAGAAATCCTATTGGTTAGGAAGTGGCCGCATAGAGACGTGGGATTGGCCGTGGGGTGGCGGCACCAGGCTGAGCGTGATGGAGGAGGACCAGGCTTGTGCTATGGAACACAGACGCTCAGGTACACTTCATTTCACATCCATCCATCCATCCATCATATTATCAGCTTTCACTTCTTTGTTAAAGTTAGAATGTTTTGTGTAAGAATAGTGTAATTTGTAGAGATATTTTTAGGCGTGTTACTAAATTTATGATTGTATGTTGCTCAGAGGAAACTCGTGGAATTGAAGAAGAACCCAGTCACTTGCCGCTGGTGGTGTGCATAGACAAACTAACTAAAGTCTACAAGACAGGCAGCAAACTGGCCCTAAACAAGCTGAGCCTAAACCTGCATGAGAACCAGGTTGTCTCCTTCTTGGGACACAATGGGGCTGGCAAGACCACCACTATGTGAGTGTTAGGATATTGTGTTTCGTAGTGTATCAGGGTGGTTCTAGACCCATGCTGTGCTTATTAATGCTCACAATAGCACTCTACGACCTAAAGTTTGGATGATATATGAAACTGATGTGTCTTGCAGAAAATTAATTTAGTATCCAATGAATCTCTTGTAGGTCCATACTCACGGGATTGTTTCCACCCACTTCTGGCTCTGCCACCATATACGGCCATGACATCCGCACAGAGATGGAGCGCATCAGGCAGAATTTGGGCATGTGTCCCCAGCACAATGTTCTGTTCGACAAGCTCAGTGTGGAGGAACATCTGTGGTTCTACTCGCGTCTGAAGGGCATGGCCGAGGAAGATATCCGGAAGGAGATGGACAAGTGGGTTAACGCACTCGCATTTTGCTAACACTTACTCAATCGCCCCCATTCCTGAGTTCATTAAGGCTGTGTGTCGGAATTCACAGGATGATAGAGGATCTCGAATTGTCCAACAAACGTCATAGTCTGGTTCAGACTCTTTCTGGGGGGATGAAGAGGAAGTTGTCGGTGGCAATTGCATTTGTAGGTGGGTCCCGGGCGGTGATTTTGGATGAACCCACGGCAGGAGTGGACCCGTATGCCCGTCGAGCAATCTGGGACCTCATCCTTAAATACAAACAAGGTGATACTATGATTACTAATCATGAATACAGTACTGTTTAAAAGTCTGGTGTCGGTCATCAGTTTCCAAATATATGACCAGTCCAAAACTATAATCTCTGTGTGAGCAGGTCGCACCATCCTGCTCTCCACTCACCACATGGATGAGGCTGATTTGCTTGGAGACCGTATTGCCATCATCTCACATGGCAAACTCAAGTGCTGCGGTTCCCCCCTGTTCCTCAAGAGCACATATGGAGACGGCTACAAACTTACACTGGTCAAGAAACAGAGTGACTCACACACTGCAGGTATATGTGCAGATATGTGTCGTCTCCTTTGTGGACTTTTGGACATTTTCGAAAATTGTAATTATTAATGTCTGAGGTGGCATTGTGAGTTTGAATCCAGCTCACATCATTTCCCTATTTGATTCTCCATTTTTCTCTCAGTACTTTCCTGTCAGTAAATGTACCAAAATGTCCTGATGTATTCAAAAATGACAAATCAGGGTTATTAAACTGACACGATCAAAAATATTAATTGAAATAATGCTGAAATAAAATATAAATATTCGAGAAAAACTATGAAATGATTAGAAATGTTGTCTTGGAAACCAAATGAAATAAGTTAACTGAAAAATAAATAAAAAATAAAACTGAACTAAAACTAAAACTGGAATAAGCCTAAAAAGTTGTATATTAAAAAAGCAAATGCAAATTACATGCATACAATTAAAATGGAAACTGAAAATATAAAACTAAAAGCTAATTTGAAATATTAATAAAAACTAATTATTATAAATGCGTAAAATCTATTGGTATATATCTGTTTTACAATGTAAAACACTGTTTGTTTTTCTGTTTTATCTCCATATTTTTTATATGGTTCATCTGTTCCTCATTTCATTGTTTGTTCCTTTAAAATATCAAAAGAGCAGACGAAAAATCTCCTAGTTCTCCTTCTGCTCTTTCATCTGCCATGACCTAACATCATGTTTCTGTTTGTTCTCAGATCAGTCAATCCAGTCTCCCGCCTCTTCCATATCTCCATGTTCAGAGAGCAGAGTGACACAGTTCATCCGTCAGTACGTTGCCTCCTGTCTGCTGGTGTCCGACTCCAACACTGAGCTCTCTTATGTCCTACCATCTGAGGCTGTCAAGAAAGGCTGCTTCGAGAGGCTGTTTCAGGTGGTCCTACACACAAAAATTTTTAGACCGTTGGAAAGACATAATTTGATTAAAATAAATAAAATCTTTATTAAACTGAATATGAAGCATTCACTGATGGGCACATATGTTGGGTGTATTTTCTTCAGGCTCTGGAGCAGAGTTTGGACAGCTTGGCCTTGACCAGCTTTGGTGTGATGGACACCACACTGGAGGAGGTCTTTCTGAAAGTATCAGAAGAAGATCTTTCACTGGAGAACAGCGATGCAGGTTAGATGGTCAGACAGATCTATTAAAGCAATGCATCTAAAGCCATGAGATTTTATTTATGGTTATTTATCTTCAGATATGAATGACTCTCCCAGCGGAGCATCAGCTGGGAAGCCCTCTAATCTGTTAGGAGGGTCACAGTGCGAGGGGGCACCAGCTGCTGCTGTGATCCGGCCAGATGTGGAGCTCAGTAACCTGATGATGTGCTCCAGGCTGAGCCCAAGCCAAGCATCCCTGCAGTCCGGCTCTTCTCTCGGCTCAGTGAGAGGGGATGAAGGGGGACTTTATTCTGACTTCTACGGAGACTACTGCCCATTATTTGACAATGGCCCGGATCCTGACTCAGCCAGTCTCAGAGGTGAGGAAATTGGATTAAATAATAATAATAATAATAATAATAATAATAAAATGTATTTAGTTTTTAACAGTTTATTATTATTATTATTATTATTTAATCCAGTAAATTTAATCATTATTATTTTGTTATTAACACGTTTATTCAATTTGACATTGTAACTGCTACATTGTGTGATTTCTGAAAACTGAATATCCAAAAGTGATTATAACTAATGATTAGAAACACATTTATTAACATAATCACACACATTATGTCGATGTAATTTCCTTGTTCAAAAAAACTGAATGCATTAACTACAGAAAAAAAGTATTAAACACATTTTATTAAATATTTGTATCTATCTATCTATCTATCTATCTATCTATCTATCTATCTATCTATCTATCTATCTATCTATCTATCATTATTATTATTATTATTCAAAGTGGATAATTGTAGGTTAATAACACATTTATTCAGTTTGACATAGTAACTGTTTTGTTGTGGTCTGTGTCATTTTTGATTAGAACCAAAAATTCATACACATTATCATATTGTTTCTTAAAAAAACTGAATGCATTAATTACATCAATTATTTATCACAGATCATTTGTATTAAATGTTTTTAAACGACAGCCCTAATTATTGATCATTATTTATTCATTTAATAATTATTTTTTATTATCAGTTTAATTGCACTGATATTTTAGACGCTTTTCTTCATTAATAGCTCAGTTGGTAGTTGTGTTTGTGGACTGCGAAGGAACTCACTAGGAACCAGTTCTTTTTGTGGTTATAGCTTGAAGGCTTTTGGAAAGAACATTGTGTCTAGTGCTGTTTGCCGCCTTTGGACACAAAGCGGAAGTCTGTCTGAGACAAATGCATCTCTGAATGGCCTGTAGGTAACCGATAAAGATTACCTACCGCTCAGTGTACTATATACCCTCTGTGCTCCAGATGAAGAGTCCTTTCCGGAGCCGACCATACACGAGGGCCAGGGCAGCTTTAAGCTTGAGGGCTGGTGGCTGAAACTCCGGCAGTTTCACGGGCTGATAGTGAAAAGGTTTCACTGCGCGAAGAGGAACACCAAGGGCATTTTCTCACAGATCCTGCTGCCTGCTTTCTTCGTCTGTGTGGCAATGACTGTGGCTCTATCGGTGCCTCAGATTGGTAAGGACACGGGGCACCTTGTGTTGTGATTGTTTGTATGTTCTGTTTCTCTAGAGAATGTAGGTTGACCAAAATCTTGTATCACAGTATAAATAATTTTATATCAAGATATATAATGGTACATATCATTGTAAGCACATATATCATGTTATATAAACAACTGTTTACAATTTTGGGGTCAAAAAAATTGTATCAAAAATTGACAAGAAAGACATTTATAATGTTACTACAGATCTATAAATTTTAAATGAATTCTGTTCTTTTGTATCATGATTTCCTCAAAAATAGTCAACACTGATAATAAGAAATGTTTCTTGAACTCTAAATCAGCATGTTAGAAATTCAGCCTAGATGACCATAAAAACATCTTTCAAAAACATTAAAAAATATTACCGACCTCAACCCTTTAAACAGTAGTGTATACTATATAATTTTTTAATTATTTAATCATAATTTATATCAATTAAAATGTAAAGAATCCAGTGAATTGAATACTTTACAAATGAAAGCTTTGCTAGTAGCTAAAGTACAAGCTACTAACAAAGAACTACTAGATCTCAATTTAGGGGGCAGTATCTTTTTAAAAATATAATTATGGAGATTATACAATTTAATCAGAGCAGTTTATCTGGCACAAAAATGATGCAGATCTTAATTAGACCTAAGTGAAGACTGTTCTGTTGGTCTCTCTTTGGCTCTGTAGGTGACCTTCCTCCGTTGATTCTGTCTCCATCTCAGTATCACAACTACACACAGCCTCGTGGAAACTTCATCCCTTATGCCAATGAAGACAGGCTTCAGTACAGGTCAGCCACAAGAAATATTGTTTTAAATATCTACAGGCTTCTTTTGCATTATAATGAAGACCCAGACATTGTCTCTCTCTCAATCCCTATAAACCTATCTTTGCTCCAGGAGTAAACTTTCTCCAGATGCCAGTCCACAGAGGATTGTTAACACCCTGCGTCTACCCTCTGGAGTTGGTGCGACGTGTGTACTGAAAACTCCCTTCAACAGCACTCTGGACCAACTGGCCCAAACCCTGAATCCATATGCCAACAACTCCAAAACCCTGGCAGCCCGCTACTTTGACTCTATGTGCCTGGATTCCTTCACACAGGGTGTGCCTTTATCAAATTTTGTGCCCCCGCCACCCTCTCCTGCCCCCTCAGATGACCCAGATGCGCATTTTGAAGATGGCCTTTGGAACTACACTGCCGCTCCTCCCACGACTGTCCGAGGTCAGAGTTTACAGACTGGTGTATGGTTAAATATGCATGTTTTTTATTTCATCAAAGCTGAGCACATTGTAAAATTGACCAAATGTTCTGTAGATGCTGCTGCACTTTCACTTTAATTTTACAATTTAAAATAAGTTTTTTTTATTTTAATAAATTTTAAAATGTAATTTATTCCTGTGATGGCAAAGCTAAATTTTTAGCAGCCATTACTCCAGTCTTAAGTGTCACATGATCCTTCAGAAAGCATTAATAAGCTCAATAAGCTGATTTAGTGTTCAAGAACAGTTGTACTGTTTTTTTATTTGTTTTGTACTGTATTTGTTTGTTTGTTTCATTTTTGTGGGGACTGTGATTTTTTTTCCCCCAGGATTCTTTGATGAATATAAAGTTATTATTTGAAGTCTTTTGTAACATTATAAAAAAATTTGACCAATTGAATGCATCCTAGTAGAACGAAAAGTATTAATTTCCTTAAAAAACATCTTACAGTAGTGTAAGAACTATAAAAACCTAATGCTATAATTAATATATAAAAATGATTGAATATTTGGTTTAATTTAGCATTTTTTTAAATGACATATATTGTAATTTTTCTGCACTAAAATTAGATGTCATTTTAGAAATTGTGAGTTGAATTGAATGAATATGACATCATGATGAAACTATAATTTAGTATGAATTTTCATCAGAAGACAAAATCTATGACCACAACAAAAAGCTAAATAATAAAAATAACACTCACCGGCAGCCAAAAGATGTAAGAGAATGAAAAATAGTAATTGATTTATGCACTCCAATTGTTGATGAGGAAAATGATTTGAGTGCTCAAGTTGAAACGAGGCTGTGTGCTAGACTTCCGAATTCTGAAATTCTTAGGAACATCGACACACGGTTAAGCTATTTGTCTGTAGATTTTCATGATGACATGGTGACGTTGATAAAGTTACAAAGTTATGCACCTTTAGATATGATTTTAGGAAAAGCTGAAAATAACTCCTGTGCCACACACCTGCTGACTATTGCTAAAAGTGAAAACTGTATTTCCTTGCATAATGTAGATTATTCTAAAACATCCTGTCTTTTTCCATGAAGCTGTGTAATATGGATTCTTCCACTCGTTTGATAAGGCTCCTCTCACCCTGCTGTGCTCCCACAGAGATGGCAACATCTCCCCCCACGCTGCCCTTGACCATCCGGGAGCCGGTACGTTGTATCTGCTCCATGCAGGGCACGGGCTTCTCCTGCCCCAGTGGAGTTGGGGGTCGACCGCCCCTTATGAAGGTAGTAACCGGAGACATCTTGGTGGACATCACAGGTCGCAACGTGTCCGAATATCTCCTGTACACCTCTGATCGTCTCAGATTACACAGGTAATCTTCTGAAAGGGTGTCAAAGGGATAATATCATATTTTACTTAATTTATTAATTGATTGAATTAATTTCCTAGTAGTAACATAGCATTTTAGAATTAAGATGTTTTTTTTTTGCTGCTGTTCACTTATAGACTTTATATAAAAAAGTATTGCATTTGAAATGCTTACTCTGAATTTGTGGGTTTGCTGCCAGGTCCAATAAAGTTTTTTAATGAGCATCTTTGCAATGCCAGCAAAGTGATGGAGCAGGCCAAGTTGCTGAATACTGAATATTTTGTAATATGGAACAATATCGTTGATCCTTATGACATCACCACAAACCAATGATTTCTGAACAAACTGTTTGTGCAGTGCAGTTTTGATTAATGGGCTTTTGGACTGACTGGACATTTTGGGTTTTGAGCATGCATATAAAATATGACTCCCTTAAAATCACTTTGTAACTGAAGTAGCGACAGGTCTTTTCTTTCGTTATGTTTGAATGAATTAAACATTTACAATAAGATCAATAAAATGCTTTTATAAAATGAAATGGGTAAAATAGGTGAATTACTATTTCATACCAACTTTAAATTCTCATTCATTTTTAAATTAAGACTTTTTTTTTAAACCTCTCTTTCTTTTGACAAGAACTCAAAAACTGCATGTTTTTTGTGTTATCCTGTAGATATGGAGGCTTTACTGTAGGAAACATTCAAAAATCTGTCCCAGCATCCTTTGGGAGAAAAACATCACCTATGGTGCGCAAAATAGCAGTGAGGCGATCCTCACAGGCAAGTCAGAGTATCCTTACCCTTTATAGCTGATATATATTTCTGAGGTAGTATTTCATCCTAATTTGAATGTTTTTGTCTTACTCTACAGGTGCTTTACAATAACAAAGGGTATCATAGTATGCCCACCTACCTAAATGTCCTGAACAATGCCATCCTCAGAGCCAATCTGCCCAGTAGTAAAGGAAACCCTGCTGCATACGGTGAGTCTGAATAGAAGTCATCAATTGTTTTTTCTATTTAATTGTGTATGTTTTATTGAATTCATTTTAAGTCATCTTCATTCTGTTGTTTTTTGTAATAAAGAGATTGTTTAGTTGTACTGAAAACCCTATATGTGCAAACGTTCACAGGCATCACAGTGACCAATCATCCCATGAACAGAACCAGTGCCAGTCTTTCTCTGGATTATCTGTAAGTCTTCCTCTCCTCTCTTCTTCCTGTTGCAGCCCTCAAACACTCATTGCTTATTTCTGATTTCATATCCGCTCTTCTAGGCTCCAGGGCACTGATGTGGTTATTGCCATCTTCATCATTGTAGCCATGTCCTTTGTGCCAGCAAGCTTCGTGGTCTTCCTGGTAGCAGAAAAATCCACCAAGGCCAAACACCTACAGTTTGTCAGCGGATGTGACCCTGTCACTTACTGGCTAGCGAACTACATATGGGACATGGTAAAGAAGGAGAGACTGTGTGGGATTTGGTGTCTATTCACAAACAAGAACAGTCCTGAGGGCTAAATTGGTTTACACACAGATTTCTTTTGTTCTTTCTTCGTTAGCTGAACTACTTGGTTCCAGCAACGTGCTGTGTCCTAATTCTGTTTGTGTTTGACCTTCCTGCTTACACGTCACCGACAAATTTCCCAGCAGTGCTCTCTCTCTTCCTCCTTTATGGGTAAGCTCTTTCTGTATGAAGACTCAATCAGACGTGGAGAGACAATAAATACAGTTTTTTATCAGTTTTATTCAGGTCTTAAAATGCCACATAAAATGTGACAGTTCGCTCTCTCTTTCTAGCTGGTCTATAACCCCCATTATGTATCCAGCCTCTTTCTGGTTTGAGGTGCCCAGCACAGCTTATGTTTTCCTCATAGTCATCAATCTCTTCATTGGCATCACAGCCACGGTGGCCACTTTCCTCCTACAACTGTTCGAGCGTGACAAGGTAGGTCAGACAGAGAAATTTTTATCACTGATGGCATGGCATGTATATAAATTGTGTGTATAAGCTGTATGACATCATTCTTCTGAGCTCATGCACTATAGAAGAAATAATTTTTTTATGTCTTTATGTATCTCACTCCCACCCCCTTAAAGGGTTAGTTCACCCAAAAATGAAAATTCTGTTATTAATTACCCTCTTGTCGTTCCAAACCCGTAAGGCCTCGTTCATCTTCGGAACACAAATTAAGATATTTTTGATGAAATCCGAGAGCTTTCTAACCCTGCATAGACAGCAACTACCACATTCAAGGCCCAGAAAGGTAGTAAAGACGTCATTAAAATAGTCCATTTGACACCAGTGGTCCAACTGTAATTTTATGAAGCTACGAGAATACTTTTTGTGCGCAAAGAAAACAAGAATAATAATAACTTTATTTAACAATTTCTTCTCTTCTGTGTCAGTCTTCGACTGGACTATTTTAACAATGTCCTTACTACCTTTTAGAAAACAAGAATAATAATAACTTTATTTAACAATTTCTTCTCTTCTGTGTCAGTCTTCGACTGGACTATTTTAACAATGTCCTTACTACCTATTTGGGCCTTGAACGTGGTAGTTGTGTTGCTGTCTATGCAGGGTCAGAAAGCTCTTGGATTTCATCAGAAATAACAAAGGTCTTACAGGTTTGGAACGTGTGAGGGTGAGTAATCAATGACAGAATTTTCATTTTTGGGTAAACTATCCCTTTAAATGGACATTTTTGCCTGTCCCACCTTTTTAACCGTATCCAATTATTAAAATCATATAACAATGTAACATTTTATCACTAATATACATTTGTTTGATTTTTTTACCTCACAGGATCTAAAGTTGGTAAACAGCTATCTGAAGTCCTGTTTTCTCATCTTTCCCAACTATAACCTGGGTCATGGATTGATGGAGATGGCCTATAATGAGTATATCAATGAGTATTATGCCAAGATAGGTGTGTTTAGGCATTCTTCATCTCAGGGCATCGTTGAGGACTGTTCTTTGCTCTTTTCAGATGATAAAATGCCTTCTCTTCCCTGCAGGCCAGTTTGATAAGGTGAAGTCTCCATTTGAATGGGACATTGTGACACGGGGACTGGTGGCAATGACCATTGAGGGTTTTGTTGGCTTTCTCATTACAATTCTGTGCCAGTACAACTTCCTCCGGAAAGCCCAGTGAGTGTGATTTTGTATACAGCATGTGTGTGCCTTTGACAGTTTAAAATGAAAATGTTCTAAAGGTCACTGTTTTCATCTCATTGTAGGAGAGTGCCTGTCAACAGTCAGCCAGTTGAGGACGATGATGTTGATGTGGCCTGTGAGAGACGCAGAGTGCTGAGGGGAGATGCTGACAATGACATGCTGAAGATCGACAACTTAACCAAGGTCAGACACTCCATGACATTTTAAAACTTTCCCTTAACCCAGTGCATCTGACCTGGACCCGTTGTTCAGTCCTCAAAATATCCTCAGAGCCCGTGTTTCCTCAACAGGTGTACAAGTCTCGCAAGATGGGCCGGATCCTGGCGGTGGACCGTTTGTGTCTGGGGGTCCGTCCTGGGGAGTGCTTTGGGCTGCTGGGAGTGAACGGGGCTGGAAAGACCACAACCTTCAAAATGTTGACTGGAGATGAGAGCACAACAGGGGGAGAGGCCTTTATTCAGGGACACAGGTGCTACATTCAAACATTCAGCTTTGATGTGTTAACAGATTTCTAAATCCTCCCTCTCTTCCTCGTCATTCATATGATATATAGAATATATATCAAATTAGTTTTTTTTTTCTTTTTGTTCTATTTTAAGCATAAACCAATAATTTGTTTATATTTATGTTTATATGTTAAAACTTCCATGGAATAAGAAAAATAAACGTAATTTAAAAAAAAGTAATATATTTAAAAAACATTTATTTCATACTAAGTATAGTTCAAATCTATTAACATATTTACTGACATATCGCTTGAAACTTACTGATATAAAAATCATAAATAACTTTATTTGGAGTACTTCTTGTGCACAATGAACATTTCTTAATATGAAAAATGTGTTTTAATGTCCCTGTTGATGAGGATTTTATGATCTTTGAATAATATCGGTCTTTAAATGCAAGATATTTAAAGTGCACCTAAAGTATACTTGCAATAGTTCCACTTTAGCACAATCAGATATACTTCAGTATATCTTTAGTTGGGCTTCAAGGTATTAGCAAGGTATTTTTGGCAGAATGTAGAGTATATCTTGAAATAAGTTTATTGTTTTTACCCTATTTGTGATTCTTCAAGCATAAACCCCCAACAAATGTTGGTAAATGTATGTGTATAAAATAAATAAATAAGCATTATCTTAGGCTATTTTATGTTTTATTTTGGAAATTTTTATGTTAGCATGTAACAAACACTACTGATTAATTTTCAGTATTAAAAATACACGTTTTTTTAGAATATAGAATATGTCTTGAATTAAGCTGATTGTTTTTACCCTATTGGTAATTTATTAAGCATAAAACTCCAGTAAAATTTGTGTAAAACTACAAAAAAAATAAAAATAAAAAGGATTCTTCTTCCAAGAATTAAGAAAAATAAACATAATTCAAACAAGTCTTATTGTCTAAATATTATTACCACTTATCCCTAATGCATTTCTGTGTTGTTGATTTAAAGCTTCATTTTCTTCTTTATTTTGCATATATACGACTAATGTGAATGGCTTGGTCAGAATGAGTCTCTCATTATCCTGCAGTATCTTGCGGGAGCTTTTACGCGTGCAGCAGAGCATCGGTTACTGCCCTCAGTTTGACGCTCTATTTGATGACCTGACTGCTCGAGAACATCTGGAGCTGTACACACGCCTCCGCGGCATCCCCTGGAAAGATGAGGAACGGGTGAGCACACAGACACACACACACACTCCCTGTGTAGTCACACTGCATTCTGTGAAAGGTTGTCATGCACTTATCAGTGATAGTCAAGTGTGTATAAGAGCTCCTAAAAGCTCTCTTGAAATCACTTTAAAAAGTGCAAGAGCACTTAGCAATCTATAATTGTCAGCTGCAGTTTGAAATTCATTGTTCTTGCTGTTAAAAATAAAAGATCTTGCTCTCTAATCCACTCTCTCTCTGTGTCCTGAAGCTGGTTCAGTGGGCTCTGGAGAAGTTGGAGTTGTCCAAGTATGCTGACAAGCCTGCTGGCACCTACAGTGGAGGGAACAAACGCAAACTCTCCACAGCTATTGCTCTGATTGGATATCCCTCACTCATCTTTCTGGTTAGACCTCCCTATCATTCTTTTCTCTGAACCTGTTCCAAACTCACTGCTGCTGCTGCAAAAAAAAAAATTTATCAGTATTTTGTCTTGATTTATGGTAAAAAAAAAAAAGAAAAAAAAAAATATATATATATAATTTTACTTTTTTTTTTTTTTTATCAAAAATGTCCCACTCATTTGGCCAGAGAGACGGATCCTCTCCAGTGAGAGGAAGTACAATTGCAGTGTATTTTTATTAAGCACATAAATATGTAAATGTATTTGTATTATACTTAGCATGAAATAAATGTATTTCAAATACATTTTAGTATATTTATTTTTCACTAGGGTATGCTATTGCTTAATTTGCATTGCTGAAAATGCAAGGTATTTTTGGCAGAACGTAGAGTATATCTCGAAATAAGTTTATTGTTTTTTACCCTATTTGTGATTCTTTAAGCATAAACCTCCAACAAATGTTGGTAAATGTATGTGTAATTAATGTATAAATAAATAAACAAGCGTTATCTTAAGCTATTTTATGTTTTATTTTGTAAATTTTGATGTTATCGTGTTGCTATGCTAACCACACTACTGATTATTTTTCAGTATTAAAAATACAAGGTATTTTTTGACAGAATATAGAATGTCTTGAATTAAGCGGATTGTTTTTACTCTATTGGTAATTTATTAGGCATAAAATCCAGTAAAATGTGCTATGTGTACAACTATTTTTACACTATTTTAAAAACATAAATGTCACAAAATTATGTTGGATTTATTCTTAAAACAAGAAAAAAATATTTGCCAACAGGGTAAGAAAAATAAAACTCAAAATATAGTATCTGAACACAAGTCACTTATTATTAACAAACTTGTTAATAAAAACGTTTTTCAAGTAATTGAACATGTTTTCCAGTAAGGAATATCAAAACATCCTTAAAACAAGACAAGGTTAGGATTTTTTGTTTTGTTTTTTGCAGCTGAGCTGTTTAATTAAACATTATTTTTTTCATGATCTGTTGTTTTTCGTTATAGGATGAGCCCACCACAGGTATGGACCCAAAGGCTCGTCGTTTCTTATGGAATCTGATTCTTGACATCATCAAGACTGGACGCTCTGTGGTGTTGACATCACACAGGTGTGGTAACTATATAAATCTTAATTTCTGTTTTACATTTAGTTTTAATAGCACTGATGTACTGATGTATTCGTTTGCAGTATGGAGGAGTGTGAAGCCTTGTGTACGAGACTGGGCATCATGGTTAACGGCAGGTTCAAGTGCCTAGGAAGCATCCAGCATCTCAAAAACAGGTTTGAAAAGTCTGTAATACAGGAGTGCAGTTTTCTTAAAAATGCAGACTCACTGTTTATTTATTTATTTATATTTTTCAGATTTGGGGATGGATACATGATAACAGTACGAACTAAGACCACCGCTAGCGTCAAGGAAGTGATACGGTTTTTCAACAGGAATTTTCCAGAGGCCATCCTAAAGGTGAGATTGAGACTGGAAATACATATAGAAAGGAAAGTTTAAGGACAATACTTTGACTGGAAATGCAAATATTTCATATTTGCTGTGCATCAGCTGAAATGTCTCCAAAACAGATGGCCGTGGTATACAAGTAACCTCCATGTTGTCAGTTTGGATTGTAATATATAAGAATGAGTTTTCAAAGTCGCAAGAAGCTCTCACAAGGTGTTTTTGTGCAGTGCTGACAAAACTAATCGTACATGTGCGTATATTTTGAGCTTGCTTTGCTTGCAGTAAAAATTGTGAACTTCTGCATATTCTTTCACATAAGGAGCGTCACCACACAAAGATTCAGTACCAGCTGAAGTCAGAGAACATCTCTCTGGCTCAGGTCTTCAGCAAAATGGAGCAGGTGGTCGAAGTGCTGAGCATCGAAGATTATTCTGTCAGCCAGACAACTTTGGACAACGTAAGTATACCTCAGTGACTAATAATGAAAGAAAAATGGCAATATTGAAAGTTGAACAAACCGTAGTTATTGATGCAAAAGATTAACTAAATGTGTGAAATATGAATCCAAAAGCGACATACTGTAACAAGGAAAAGTAGTATTTTCTTCTTTTCTATTCTTTTTTTTAGGTCTTTGTCAACTTTGCAAAAAAGCAAAGCGATAACTTAGAACAGCAAGAAAGTTCTCCATCTAGTGCTGGTCAGTCGCCACTGCAGCGGCTGCTCAGTATCCTCCGTCCGCGTCCCGCTAACACAGAACTCAACGCCCTCGTAAGTGAAGAGCCAGAAGAACTTGAGAGTGATGATGATGAAGGACTGATCAGCTTTGAGGAAGAAAGGGTAAGACTTGTGACACAGGCACATAAAAACTATATTTCACTTGATGAGATAATTCAATTCAATCTGCTTGGCACAGTCTGCAAAAGACTTTGGTTATGATTTATAAAGACATTTGTTATTAGAGAGCTTTATTCTATTAAAAATGATAGAGCAAATCAAATTTCTTATGGATTCAGAATCAGGCTGTGGCTGTTGAAATGTCACAAAAAGTTAAATTAAATGGATTATAATGTTTAATTTATCTCACAGCCCACAAATTACTCACCCTCAAGTCATCCTAGGTGTATATGACTTTCTTCTTTCAGACAAATCCAGTCGGAGTTATATTAAAAATTGTCTTTGATCTTTCAAGCTGTTTAATGGCACTCAGCAGGTGTTGCATGCATCAGTCTAAAAGAAGTTAAATAAAAAGCGTACATCCATAAAAAAGTGTCTCACACGGCTCCGGGGGGTGAACAAAGGCCTCCTGTAGTGAATCGATGGGTTTTTTGTAAGAAAAATATCCATATTCAAAACGTAATAAAAAGTCATATACACCTAGGATGACTTGAGGGTGAGTAATTTGTGGGCTAATATTCATTTTTGGGTGAACTAACCCTTTAACTTTTGTAAAACTAGGGAAGACAAAAATGAGGCAAGATAGAACCTTGTAAAAAACCTTTTGTGGAATAAAAAGTTTCCATGGATGGTAAAGATTCTTTGTGGAACCATTGATGCCAATAAAGAACCTTTATTTTTAAGAGTGTATGCTAAGTTGGTGCTCAAGAAACATTTTTATATTATCACAGTTGAAACGTTTTGCTTCTTAATATATTTGTGGAAACTATGACTTATTTTTTTCCGGATTCTTTGATGAATAGAAAAGAGTTCAAAAGAACAGCAATTAATACAAGACTATTAAACGACATTATTTAAAATATTTCTCTGTCATAATTTTTTATTTTGCCTTCTCATAGGTGCAGTTGTCATTTAATACAGACACTCTGTGCTGAAACAGCTGTTAATCTCACAGACGGAGAGATGTTAAAAAAATAAGCCTCAAGTTCAGACCCGTGTCTGTATGGTGAAAGACATTTGTGCGTTTTTTTTCTCGCTGGAGAGGATCCGTCTCTCTGGCCCAGTGGGTGGGTTGTTCTTGTTTCCATTTGCACTTCGGAAGCGGAGCGAGAGAACAGCTCTTCTGGGAACTCCAAACAGAGATGCGGACACAGCTGGTGCCTGGACGTGATCGGGCCTCCCCTCCTGCGTTTCGGAGATGATGGTTTATGGAATCGTGTATTACTGTGCTGGATGGGAACTAAAGAGAATGTATTTCTTAGATAGGCTACGAACCGGCCGTATGGTTTATTTTGGTATCGCTTTTAAATTTGAATATGATCGTACTATCTTTAAAAGGATCACATGTTGAATTGTTTTAATTGTAGTGTTGATGTCATAGCATAATCATCTCTCAAGGAATAGGACTCGTATGGGTTCAGCCTCTGCAACTTGTTCTTTTTATGGCCGTTTATCCTCACAAATCTTTTATTCTTTACTCGGACCTACTCTGTTGATTTGTACCTGCATTGAGAGCATGCTATAAAAGACGAGCCTGTCGTGTTGTGGGTTGAAGAAATTTTACTATGCTTAAATGTTTTGAACAGACCTGTTGTTCTTGTTGAAGAATGCAAATGTACCTCTGTGCACCTTCATTGAAGTTTTGAAATCGGACACTCAATAGTGAATGACTCGTGACCGATTCAAAGGCCTTTAGTCGAACCGGACCGAACCAGCCCTGCTATGGAGATGTTTGTGGTCTTGTAATTGAATGTAAATGGCATACGTGTTTTGTGCTGACTTTTGTGTCTCCCAAACCAGTAGGGTGCAGGGGGTTCTCTCTTTTTTTGATGAATGAATTCTGAAATGAATTGTAATTGATACCGGTGTCTGTCTCGGTGGAAAATTTACGTTGCATTATGGTTAAAAGCTGAGTAATACCAGATGTCAGTTGAAAGAGCTCCTACACCAGATGTCAAGTAGAAAGTTCATTGTCACGCTATCACTGTGAAGCCAAAGGTGAACTCTTAGTCACTATTCTTACAGATAGACAGAAATCAGGTCATTGCTATTGATTATTGTATTTATGAGAACCCTTGAAATGTTTTGTTTATTGAATAGCAGGTTTTGACTTTGTCGTTTGCACTGTAACGTGATACAAGTGTACATTTTTCGTTTTGACCTGAAATCAGTCGATCATATTGTTCATTCGAAATGAAATGATGCTTCTCCTTCATGTCAGTGATGTACATGATGGTTCGTTCCTATCGCTCAGTGACAGTCTAACCGTGCTTAATCTCTGAATCTTGCACAGTAGTACTATAATGGTGTCTTATTTTTCTGACATTGCTGCGTAAAAGAGTATGATCGATATTTTGGAGCTCCTCAAAGAGAGGAAAGCAGAGACCGATAAGGAGGCCCTAGTCTGCGTTTTCATGTACGATGACCAAAGGGAAATGTAGCATAGTTTTTGAAATGTGTAAATTGTGACCAGCTATGTGAAAACTGACCTACTGAACACTTATTTACCTAATGTTCAGGCGTCTGGGCCACTTCAGAATATATTTCCGGCTAACGGAGAACCTCAACAGCCTAACTAAAGATCAGTGCAAGCTGCTTTTCACTTTGGAAATTAACATGTGCAGTGATTTAAGACACCAGCAAACATGAGTGTGGTTCTGTATCATAAAATAGCATTATGGTTAAGGAGGCGATTTAGTTTTAGATTTCTTGTAAGTGCGTTGGAATGTAAATTCGGTACATGTGAATATGATTCGATATTTATGAACGTTTTTTTCATCCAGTAATACCTATGTTCAGGTGGATTCCCTTGTAACAAGATTGACTGGACCTTTTCAGCTCGTTTTCAATTACTTTTATTGTTTCCATAATCTTGTGCTAACTGGGGTGAACTGATGTTTTTAATATTAACAGGAGAAAAATTAAATCAATAAATTGTTAAATTGATTTTCTGACTCTTTTTTTTGTCTACTCCTTTGCTGAAAATAAAATTTTCAGTGAACACAGTTATTTAAAAGTACCATTTTTATTAATGTTTTTAATATTAACAGGAGAAAAATTAAATCAATAAATTGTTAAATTGATTTTCTGACTCTTTTTTTTTTTGTCTACTCCTTTGCTGAAAATAACATTTTCAGTGAACACAGTTATTTAAAAGTACCATTTTTATTGGCAACACATTTCAAAAGGAAAAAATACGAAGAAATCATTAAGTAATGTAATTTAATAAAACCTTACATGGTACATGATGACTTGAAACTTTCTATCCAAGTTACATTTTAAAAACAGATAGTGTTGAGTTGGTTAAAAAGGTACAATTCTGTTTTTTATAAAACTCCGTGGTCTTGTTGACTTCAATCATCGTCTTCGTCGTCAAAGGCCACACCTGTTGCAGGTTTCTTTCTGTAAAATCAACAGAAACGGTCAGTGAGCAGAATACCCCGTGTAAGATATTCAAAGATTGTTATTCGTTAATTTTAGAGAATAAAGTCAATGAAAATATTAACCTTTTTGTTCCTGGGTTGATGAGAGAATCTCCAGGAAGACGTTTTCTGACTTCTACTACTGGACCCTTGTGCTGTTTCCTAGGTTCAAATTCTAAAACAGAAACATGTCATCACTAGTTTTAAATGAGCTTTGACAATTAGACAAATTATTCTGATATAATTAAGTAAAGCTGATATACAGTGTACCTCTGGTACTTCTGCTGTAATAAAATAAACTTTAAAAAAGCACCCAAAATTATAATGTCAGGGCTTTTTTAGCATTTTAAGTAAGATTATGTTAATATAACAAAATGATTTTAAGACTCATTAGGCCCCCTGGATGTTTACAACTATCATGCTTAAAAGGTAAGAATAATAGTAGTCCAAGGCACTCGAATCTTATTCAAAAAGTTTTAAAAAGCCTTTATTTCATCATGGCTATAAGTTTTAAGAACAGGTGACAAGTGCACTCCTACGCATTGCGGCTATTTTGCCTTCGTCAGGGTGTGAGTAACAAACACAATCAGAGTTAATTTTGAGCAGCAATTAATTAGTCAAACATCACCTGGTCGTTCTACACAGGACAAACAGTAGAGAGGAAGTACTATATAGATCCAAAAAGACTCTCTCTGTAAAAGCCTATTGACCCTGTCACCTCCTCTTATTGACCTGGGGACATGTTCTATTCTGATTATCTTCAATGTACTTGGGCTACCATGATTTTTCTCTTTATAATGAAGGGCCATAGGATACAAAGGGTTACAAACTCGAATGGCATTCTTATGTTCTGCTAATCTGATCTTTAATTTCCTTGTAGTCATCCCTATATAGAAACAACCACATGGACACTCTAACCGATACACTACAAATGAGGTATTGCAATTAATAAATGATTTAACTTTAAATTCTATGTGTGAAGTTACATCTTTAAACATATTTTTCTTGACCATATTGTCACAGTGATTGCAATTGCCACATCTGTAATTTCCTGCACTCGGACATAACCAGGTACTTAATTTCTTAGAGGAAAGATGACTTCTCACTAATTTATCTTTAATCGTAGGTGCTTTGGAATACAATGGAGGGAGATTCATTATATTTTTTATAATTTTCTTAATTCTATTCGCTTCTGTACTGTACTGTGTAACGAAATAAACCGAATTATCAGAATCTTGTGATTTACATTTTTGTACCAATAACTCATCTCTACTGATGTTTCTTGCTTTATTAAATGCCTTGTTGATCACCCTGTTTTTGTACCCTCTGATGCTTAAAAGGTACTGCCTTAACTTACCAGCACTCCTTTTCTGAGGACTCTTGACTGGACTAAATGAGGATGAAGAACCTACAAATGATAAAACAGCAAACATTTAGTATGGTAGGGTTTTATTATTTAAAAAATGATTGAGTATAAAAATTGAAAATATCTTGGCTTGCCTTGACTTTCTAGCTGTTGCAGGCTGTCAGCCATTTTAAAAAGCAGCTCCTTGACTTCTGTCCTTCCCTCCGAGTCTTTGAGTTTTGACAGGGACAGACTGAGGTCTGTGTGCTCCGATCCTAAATGCAGCACAGCACTGTCCTCCTGCAGCTTCACAAACGCTCTGCCAGCTTTACACGCACATCTGTCCACATACACAACACAAGAGACGCTTCTCAGAGAGGACAGTAGATCTTGCCCACCGAGAAATCAGATTATTGAGGTTGCAACTCACTTGAGTTTGAAGGTATAATCCTCTGTGGACTTCAATGAAAATGTCTTAAACTGTAAAGAAATAAAAGCATTGTATTATTGTTATAAGAAACAAATGTCTGTCATGTAGAAAGACACCATCAAAAAAAAAATCCTTACAAGCTGAGACAGAATCTCCTCTGAAAGATGTGTTTTCCAAACATCTTCACCATTGGTACATCTACAGGAAACAGGACATGGTGAAATATACAATTATAAGCAATATATACAATTCATAATAATATGTATTATTATTATGACAAATGTTGTAGCCAACTGATATGAGTGTGTAATTTAGTGCTGTCACTGTTAACAAAAAATAAATAAATATATATATATATATATACACACTGAATATAATTTATATAATTAATTATATACCAAAAATAAAACTGAAATAAAATAATATACAACTGTTAGACGAAAAACTTGAAAGAACAAGCAAAGACCAAAGCAACCACCTAAAAATGAAATGAAATCAATTAAAGCTAAATAGAAATATTTAAATGATGATGATGATGATGACAAAATCGTGAAAAAATACTAAATCTGAAATGAAAACTTAAAATATAAAAACAAAAGCAAATTAAAAATATGAATAAATACCATAATAGTATAGAAAAAATACTAAATCAACACTGGTTTATTTAACCTGAATTTATAACTGCACACACAACAAAAAATAAAATATGTATGTATTATTTAAAGTAGTTTTAAAAAGAGTACAGCATATAAAACTGCTGTGACTGCTTTCATGTCAACTCACCCTATGTTTATGTCACCTGCTGATCGTTTTTGCGTAAAAAACACATATTTGGACTGATCGTTTTTATCCAGCAATGTGCAAAGGACAGATTTTGACTCGGAGTTTTGTTCCATACTCATTTAACTTAAAATCACATCATAAAATTTTTAAAACGACATGCTTCAACCAGGAACTGCTCCTCATAAACATCAAGAGCACGATTTAAACACTCAGCCAGTCAGACCTCACTCAGAAACCCGGAAGTTGTTGTGCCATTCGCGTCCTGTTTACCTCGTAAAACGATAAAATGTTTATGACCTGGAAACTAATATTTGACACCAAGTTATAATACATACTATTCATTTAAAATAAAAATGATTATAAAATTACAATTTTAAATAAAACAGCTGGTCTAGAGTGCCGCATGCATGTAGGGGTCACAGACTGACAGTAAGTTACGCGTGCAGTCATTTCTTGGTCAGTTACTGCGATTAACTATTCTAAGTTGCTTCATATTATGCGGAGCCGCTTAAATGGGTTGGCAGTCTCGAACCCGAACTGCAGGTGTTTGACACGGAGTTGAGCGCTGATACCGTGGAGTGGTGCCCATTACCACAGTGCTCTCATGTTCTGGTATGTGGGATTTACCAACTTCAAAAAGGCGATGAGAAGGTAATGCAAAATATCTTTCGGCTTTAGTTTATGGTATTGTGTGGTATTAACTGGTCAGTCCTAGATTGAAACGGTGTTTTCTGTTAACAGCAACCCGCAGAAAACTGTACTGCACCGAGCAGAATCGGTCGACTTTATCTGTTTGACTGTAATCCGCAGCCATCGTTCAACCCTCCACTGACTGAGACTCAGCGGATAGACACTTCTGCTATACTCGACCTCAAATGGTAAGTGAATCTCACTGTTCCATCTGCTCACTACAATTCACTCTTCACTTACACACTCCATATTGTACTGTATTTTGTACAGTTTGTGTATATATTATGTATGTTATTTATTGTATGTGATGGCATCCATCCATTTTTCACCACTTGTCCTGTGTAAATGAGGTAGGGTAACACTCTTGACAGATGGCCGGTAATGGAGTTGATGCTGAGTCAAATGCTTTATGTAACTGGCCAATGCACATGAATTGTGTTTTATGTGTTCTAATTTCTCAGGTGTCACGTGCCGATATCAGAGCGCCCAGTGTTGGGTATGGCCACTGCAAGTGGAGAAATCCAGTTGTACAAGCTTATAGAACCTCAGGTGACAAATCACACATTCACGCTACATGGTGAAATGCACATTCAAGGACTGGTCTAGAAAAAGAAGGGGAACAAAGTAAAAAAAAAAAATATATATATATATAATTTTAAATTTTTTACAGCATTTTAATTAGGTTAGATAATTCACTTTAATATTAAAAGTATTAATAATAATAAGTATTAAATATATTATTTATATTATATTCATTCAATTATATTAATTAGTTATCATATTAATAGTTCACCCAGAAATGATCATTGTCATCATTTACTCACCCTCAAGTTGTTCCAAACCTGTATGAATTTCTTTCTTTTGCTGAAAACAAGAAAAGAATATATTTTAAATATTTTGTATCCAAACAGTTTTTGGTCCCCATTGACTTTCATACTATGGAAGTCAATGGAAACCAACAGCCGTTTGGTTACCCACATTCTTCAAAATATCTTCTTCTATGTTCAACGGAAGAAAGAAAGTCATGCAAGTTTGGAAAATCGAGGGTGAGTAAATGATGAAAGAATTTTTGGGTGAATTTTGAGTGAACTATCCCTTTTATAATAATATCTATCTATCTATCTGTCTATCTATCTATCTATCTATGATTTAAAGCCATC